TCTCTCCTTCTTTTGAATCTACAGGAGAAATCTAAAACATCATAATGAATGTTTAGATGATTAACCATCCTTGTGATCGTGCATGTAAAACCCTGTGGACAGAGTTTTTTCCCTACAGTCTCAGTTGTGGCTCCCAGAGCCATATGGAGGCTCTGTGGTGCTCTACAGACTGCAGATAGTACTGTCTGTGTCAAAAGCAGTGTCCTCATCATGTTACTGCCTCTGCTGGGGACCAACAATGTTCACGTGGCCTCCCTGGAGCCCACAGACCATCTGCAAAGATATTCCTGGAATGGCCAAACCCCAAGGTTCTTGAGCTGTTGGGATTCCATAGCACAAGTGAGTTTATGCTCCACTAAACTGCTCACAAGCTGCTATAATGTAATTATTACAGTCCTTTTCCCAATGGCTGTGCAGTGATGTCATAAATATGGAATGATTATTTAATTATAAAAAATATTCTGGTAATTATTCACCAAGGTGCTGATGATACTGAATTCACAGCAGAACTGTGGTAAGGAGAAAGTGGCTGTACTTCACCAGAATGAATCTTCTCGGTGGCAACTTCCATATCAATGTGAAGTCAAAAAGAAATAAAAAAGGGCAAGAAGGAAAAAGGCGTCTTATTCTTAGTCATTTTTGAAACCATCCTTGTAATTCCAGACTTGTGTCTGTCTTATGCGATAGATGTGATAATCTCACGACAAAATAAAAGCACAGTATTTCTCTTTTACTAATCTGCTCCAAGGAAAAAAGACAAATTATGCCTTGTGAAGAAGCCATTTGCTATAAAGTGTAAAAATGCTTTAATATTAATATTTTATAATAAAATTCATGACATATTTATAAACACTCTATCAAGCATTTACAACTGAACCACAGCTGAGAGCCTGGACTGGAATAAATAAGCAAGGACACAGCTAGTATGAAATATACAGCTTAATTTTTATAATTGTGTGTGCTTTATTCTTTACACAAATGGAATGGATGCGCAGAGTATTTACACATAACAGGAGTGTAAGCTGGACAGGGTGTTTTGTAAACTCCAGTTCAGATTCTGAGTACCCCACACTACAGCTGGACTGAGAAACATCCTGCTAAAGAGACGCGCGCCGGACCTCGTGCTGGAGGGAGCAGCTCGGTGCATCCAGGCTGCTGCACTCAGAAATTCAAACTGGCCAATTCAAATTCAGGAGCACAAATCCAGAAATTAAAAGGCTGCTATCCCACTAAGAGCCAACAGTGTTGCCGTTTTTTTTCCCCCTTTTTTAAAATGCTTCCCCCCCCCCCCCCACTAAAGATCTTGCCTAGGATGCTGGCTCCTGTCCCCAGAAATGCTGTTTTGCATCAGGGCAAGTTGCCTGCTCTGTTGGGCCAGAAAGTGTAAGCTGCTAATGTGGTGTGAGAGATGATGGATTGCCTCTCCTGCTTTTCACTTTAAAGACAAGGTCTCAAAAAGTGCCAATGAAGTGGTCGTTCCTACAGCTCTTGGTGAGATGTCAGTGCCGCTGAAGCCTTCTGCAAATCCATTTGGCCCTCGGGGTGTCTGTTAACAATTTCAAAGCACTGGCCTCAAAAGGATCTTGGTCCATGACTTGGCCCTCTGGGTGTTACAGTAAAATAAGCAGTAAATAATGATGGAAAGTGCTGAACCGCTGTTTAATCAGGTGGCCTTGGTGTTTTACAGAGATGAAAAAAAATCAGTGTGATGAGGAGGATAGATGTTTAACTTCAGGTGATATAAATGGGATGGGTTCCATTGAAATCGGAGGACTGACCGTGATTTCCACCAGCTGAGGATCTAGGCTAGCTATATGCTGGATAGATTTTAGATGTTATCTGTTAGCTTTGATGCTGATTTGTGTCCTAGAATGGAAACTTTCTTTTTTCAGCATAATGGCCTCATTCTTATTTCTGAACCAACTGACAAAATGTCTGATTTTTAATGGGAAAGAAAAAAGTTTATTCCACCAAGGAATGGGCCAGCGCACTTGAATGCACTTGCACAGTGAACCACATGCATAACATGACAGGCAAAATGTTCAAGAGGGAAAATACTGAGTTTAAAAGCTGGGAAGGATAAAAGACCACTTTCTGTGAACACGGCAGATATTATGGCTTTAAATCTGCATCTGAAATAGGAGGTCGATACCTTTTCCTCAACACGATTTTTCGCACAAATACCCTCATGTGTTTTCATTCACTCAATCAATCCTCTGGTCAGGGATACAATTTGAAAAACAAAAATTAAAATATAAGAAAACTGAAACAAAAGTACAATTTGACTCGGTGCTGATGAGTGACTATCATTGAAGGTGTAACACCAACAATTTCTCTGTAGAAAACGAATGTAAATAGGTAGGTGGATGTTGTGTACCTAGGACACTGTTGCTGGCTCGTAGTGGTTATTAGCTCAGGTACCACACTGCTCTCCAGGATGAGGATTTGTAATTTCAGTGCAACGGAGAGATTTCTTATCCTTGACTTTCAGTGAGTGGTTCCTAGGACCCTGTCCACACCGGAGCATCAAACCATGCTAGCTACAAACACAATTACATCACAGAATATTGATCTAGAAACGGCCTTTACTACCAAAGAAATTACAAAGCGCTAGCATGGACAGGGTACCTCTGTAGGAAGGGGGATTAAGCAAGAAAGAGGATCTTTCACTGGTTGATGGTCAGACTGTAACACCAGTGAAGAAGTGCCATTCCACTGAGCCCTGTTAGCAAGCTCCCAATGAGTCAGTGCATGGAAGTTTTGTTTTTTTTTGTTTGTGGCAACGAAAAATAATTAAGTTGTAATATTGCACATCTGCACAAAGCTAGCAAGATGTCATTATGATCATTCATGGGTGGACAAAAAGCTGTGATAATTTTGATTCTGCTTAGACCCTACGGTGCTACACACTGTGCCAGAACATGAGATATAGCACCAGGGGTGTGATCTGGCACTTTTCCTAAAGGGTCCAGCATTTGCATTGATCTCATGGTTAGACGCTCCCAAGTCTTTTACATGGACAGAAAAGGAATCTAATTATGCTAAGCTGTGTTAGCACCAATATGGAGTCAGGCGCCAATTGCTGTGGGTTGTGAGTTTGGACTTTTTCTTTTTCACCAGATGTAATTTTGCATGAGTCTTATGCTTTTCTTCCTCCTCCCACTACCACCCAGTATGATCTGAACAGCTGCAATGCAAAAATGGACTGCAGCTCTGAGGATGCTGCAACATGGAACGCAAAACATCAACACACAAAACAAATGGGAGTACAAGTCCTAAGGGAAATAAGACCTCTCACTGATTTTCTCGACGATTTGTTTTTAAATATATGTTTTATTTAAAAAAAAAAAAAAAAAAATTTATTTAAAAAAAAAAAAAAAAAAAGAAGTGCAATGTCAACTCTAAAATGGAAGCACGAACAACAGACAGGGAAAAATAAATAATGTTACTACAGTAACCAAGGACTGATGGAAAAATTGATTGTACTCAGCCGTAGTGTTACTGTTCACCGTAAAGCACAGCACATGACAAAGCAAAACAGTTACTAGTAGGATAGTACCATAAAAGGCTGCATGCTGAACTAAGAAACAAAGAAGCAGATGTGATTGATTGCTTAAAAACAGAGCTGAAAATTAGAATGAAGTTCCTGCTTTAGGATACTTGTTTTTTCAGGTCTGGTGGGCTATTTCCCAACCTGGGGCAATAGCATTTTGCTAGCATGGAAAAATCCATGGCTTCTAAAGATCTGGGGTCACTCTGTGGACTTCTGCAGAATCATCCAAAATCAAAGCACTCATTAATTAATATTTAAAAAAAACAAAACAAAACAGAAATTTATAGCCCTTCTGGTTACAAAGCTCTTCTGGAGACTTAACTGAAACCCTTGTTTATAAATCTGCGCTGACCAGGCAGGAAAAATAGTTAAAGAAGTGTGAACTTCTCAGAGTTACCATAGTTGGGCAGTAAGCGTGAGAGGCCCACTCAGAGCCAGTAAAGTGCCCGTATTTTTAACCCTGTCACTGCTGGTGGCTTTTGCAAACACCCAGCACGTTGCGCTGTCGGCGGAAGGCGGCTGGGCAGACCCGTCAGTTTGACAGGGTATAGAAGTGTAAGCTTCAAACAAGTGCCAGAGGAATCTATTCAGCATTTGCCCTTAAGACTTCCATAAGGATTAGGGCTGCTGTAGCCACCAGCTATAAGCATGGCACTCCTGCAGTGCAGCAGAGGCAGGAGTGTGGGTTTTATAGAGAACATGGTCCAGCAGCAGCAAAGGCAATTCAATTTTACTGTCATAGCATCTGTTGCAGTTGTCCCCTTTTAAGTCAGTGAGGAATGGCATCACTATACAGAAGAAGGGCGATGTGAAATGAGAAAAAAATACCTCCTCCTCCCCTTCCATACACCCCAAACTGCAATTCCACAGACTTTCCCCAAATCCCTCACAAATGTCTATTGCCTCAGTTTTTGCTTTAAAGACCCTTGCTGACTGTGAAATGAATGAAGATACAAGTTAGTTGGTGACCTGCCTGAAAAGAGAGGAAAGATCAAATGCTTTTGCTATTCCCCTGAGGGAAACAGGAAGAATCGTAAAACATTTGGGGATTAAGGGTGCCTCCTTCCTAAGAGAGAAATTATTAACTGCATTTAAGCACTGACATTTTGCCTCTGAATAGCTGTCCCTCTCAAAGATGCATTATCCTTTTCTGTTCAGAAAATTCCTACAGGGCAGTGAGTTCAAGAGATCTTTCCACAGGAGTTCATCACGATTAAACAGAGGCAAGGGAGAGGATTGAATTGAAAGAAAAAAAAAGATGACAACTACAATTTAAGGAATTATCTTGCTTGTCATTGATAATAGAGAATCTGTCATGGAAGAAGTATAATGCAACTTGATGGTCCTCCTTACATTTGACAGTCACACAAGGGTGTAAATATTTAATCTTTCAATTAATTAATCTTTACAAAATATCTTCACAAAAACATTTTACCTATAGAAATTAGTTTCTATACATCAATATATTTTTATTTTTATAAATTATTCCATCTTTAAGTGCCTTCTATCAATATAAATGATAAAATAGACAATCAAAAATTTTAAAGCTTTTCCCAGTTGTATCCCTCCTTGTTAACATAGGTGCTGTGAATCCTCATACATGTGTGTCTGCATGGGAATGTGTTTGTGTGCACGTGTGTGTGATGTGAAATGCTTCCATCCTCTCCCACCCCTAAACACCATCAAAATAAACCATATTGTTGGTAGTTCCTAATGCAATAGTGCTTCCAAAGGGGAAAAAAGAAATGCTTGACTTGGTTTCAGAAATCAAAAGATGTGCATAGTTACCAAAGTCGAGGTGTACCAACTACAAATGTGCAATGACAAGCTTGGAACAGGACCCACCTCCCAGTCAGGTCACAGAGTGTCCTAACAGTGACCTCAGTAGGAAGTGGACCAAATATTCTGAGCTTGATTTTGCAAGGTGCGTGTGGCCCTGATCTAGCAAAAATGCTTAAGCCTGTGCTTAGCTTTGAGAACGTGGATAGTCCTACTGGAACTGGTGGGACTGAATGGCATAGGGAAGGGTCACAAGTGACTCCAAGTCAACAGGCTACTCATGTGTGGGAACTGGGGTCAAGTGCTGAGCGCCTTGCAGGATCAAGCCCTCTATGAGGTTCAAGAGCTGGGAACTTCTCTAAAGCAATCAACACACTGAGCTCAGCCATTGAAATTGACCAAAATGTCCGCGTGGGCACAGGAGGTGGCTTAGCTCCCCTTGACAGAGGGTCTCCATGTCAAAAGTTTATACCTACAACTCGTGCTCTGAGCACACAACATATTTGCTTTACATGGTAGAAGTCTTTTTGTTCCTACCCTTTGACCCATCAGTGTCCTTCATGGCTTCAAACACTTTGTGTTGTACATTCATCAAAATTCACATTGACTGCAAAGAACATAAATGCAACAAAAACAGGAAAGCCTCCAAATAGTATATTATAGTTTTCTTCTAAATATTCTCCCGTCGTAATCAGAGGTGCAGTGGCTAATTTATAATTTTTCCTTTGAAGGAATCCAGATGAAAGGCCCAGATTGTTCTTCAATTACAAGTTTGCATTGATTATATATATCTTCTAAGCTATCTCCTTGGACAATAGCTGCAGTAGAAAAAACATACCAATATTTCTTTTAATTGATAGATACAGCATCCAGTGTCAGCAGATCTTCAGCATACTCATAGACACACATGGAATGAGAAGGAATACTGGCATACTGAGATGTTGATTATGAAAAAGGCATACCTCTGCAGATATCAACTAAATTCAAATTGATGGCACCTGCCTATGACAAAGACCCATTCCACTGCTCGTAGACTGAGCCAGGTTAGTTCAGACTAGCAGCTCTGTCCAGGGGAGGACAGCACAAGAGATTCCCACTGTTGGAGGTCAAGCTTTACACTTCATTCAATTTAGAACCTACTTCAGCAGTGGGCAGCAGCAGATTTACAACCTTTCTGATCTGTTTATAATGCAAACTTTTGAGGAGTCAAGTGCCCCAACTGCTCTTGAATTTCATGGAAACAATTCTCTCAAGCCAGAAGTCCTTGCTCTGGTCACAGTATATTGATAGGTACTCTAGGCCAAAGACAGAGTTGATCCAGTAGTTTTGCAATAAAAGACTGTATCTTGGGGAAAAAAATTGGTATTAATAAAAACATACCTGTGAAATATTCTCCAAATTCTTGTTCTAATTTAATTGCTCGATCATAGGTTTTCTTTGCTTGCTCCTCTGTAAGACGTTTATTCATTTCCCTAGAAACATGGAGGAAGCAATCAAAAAGTTTAGATTCTTGCTAGAATGGCTTTCAAAAGGCATGCTCAACCGGATCACAGATGGATTGAAATTGGTAAAAGAACAAAATGGTAAAATTCTTCCAGCAGCTTCAATATTTTCAATTTAATTTCATTCTTATGTAGTACAAAACAATTCTTCAGACTATTTCCCATTTCACTTTTCTCCACCAAATTTTTATCTTGGGTTCACTACTCTACATTCTCAAACAAAATACAAGGCCCCAGTCTGGTAGCTGCTAACTGAGATAGACTTGAGACATGAGGAACCCACAGACAAGTCTTGAATCCAGGATATCCCATGGTCTGAGCACTCACCACTCCTACCTGACGGTCCTTCAGGAATGTTTGTATCTCCCAGACTCATCTGGTGGTCTCAGATAGGTAAGGTTGTACTGACTGCTTAGTGGGTGCCAATAAATATAAAAACAGAGAGTAGCATTCTGTTTTTTTCCAGTGTTTTATTATTTGATGGAGCATTTCTTCAACAGAAGGATTTAATAACTTTAAGAAATGGGTTGTTGTGCCCATGGCACTCTGGTATTAACACCACTGTTTACTTGCAATGAATCAAGCTCATGCTCATTCACTGCCTTATACTCATATGCCTGTAGATGTCCAAATTATCAATAATAAATAGAGTTTGCTTGTTCTAGCATTTTTTTCCTAGTGTAGATTCATTTCTTCTTAAAACATGACAGAAATTTTCTGAGGCAACTAGGAAAGCATAAATCTGATTTTATGCCTTGCACTGCATATCATGATTATGTGGTAATGGACTGTATACAGCATGCCATGGGTGATGCATGTAGGAAATTATGGACATGATAGTGCAAAAAAAAAAAAAGCTATGAAGTGTACAACAGTATGAACTTGCTAGAGCTAACTCCTACTTGGCTTCTGAAAAACATTCTGGGAGATGTCCAGGATGCAAAAAGGTGTTTTCAGAAATGGCTTTAAGCTACCTAACTATATAAGTAACCATATAGCTGGGAATACTGCTTAGAAAAATCTCTTTGGAAGTACTAACACCATGGAGAAAGCAGGTTTATAAAATGAAGGCTAAGAAAGATTTCTTTTAAAATTTATGTCAGTTATTTGTAGATTATAGAAAAGGGTTTAAAATAATCCACATGTTGTTCTGCTAAATTTGTAGTAATACTAATTCTGTTTATTGGAAAGATTGTTACCTAAACAAGTTCAGGTGGACTTCAGCTACACCTACTTTAGGTGACTGAACTAAAACTCTCTCTTGAAGTGGGACATAACCACTGCAAATTCTTAGGCAAACGTAACATTTTCATCTTACGGGCACTTAACCAATATTGTAATGCTAACAACATCCTCTTCCTTTCAGATCTGTTTCTGGTAAATTTTTCAGATTTCCTCAAAATCTTTGAATATCAGAAAAGATAATACAAATAAAAATATAAACAAGTGTTTAAAATAGGAAGTACTTTGAAACAGGTAGAAATTTGCATTACACTTTCAGGTTGTAGATTTGCCTGGGTATAAAACTGTGCTAATTGTATTCCTGACTCTGCCCATTCTGTGCCCCTAGAAGAGAGGATGGAGAATGTCCATTTTCCATGAAGATATTGAAGTGCTGTCACACTGCATTCTCTTCTATTTCTTATTTCTTAGCCAGAGACCTGCACAGCTGCTGAATTCAAAATATAGTGCATATTTTCCAGGGTTTTCTTCCTCCCAGTGGAGAGCTCACCCAGGCTGGTTCTTTCTTACTTCTATTTCTCATCCTCATGATCTCACCACTGTCCTCATTCCTCTAGAGAGTGGCTGACTGAAGGGTATGAGCAAGCATGCCTCTGGGAGTAAACCAGGTGGAGTCATGAGGGAGTGGGAAGAAAGGAATGGAGGAAGGGGAGGGAAAAGGCGGGGGAGAAAAGGGGAAGAGAAAGAGGAGGGAGGGGAGAGAGAAAGGGGAGGGAGAAAGGGGAAGGTGGGGAGAAAGGGGAGGGAGGGAGGAAGG